AAATGGAGGGGTTGCCGTTGTCAATTATTTGAATCGAAAGTTAAACGACCGGACAACCGTAGCGCAGCCTGTGCGGTGATATGCATGATGCAGTTAAAAGGACATCTGTCCGACAGCGACTCTTGTCCGACTCAATATGTTACCAGAAAAAAAAGACATCTGTCCGAAATTGTGATCTAATTGCAATACGACACATTTCCATTTTCCAATTAGAGACATGATCTGAACTGAGATATGACCTGAGCTGAACTCTACCATAGTTTATTTTCATTTGATGACAATAGTTTAAATGTTATATAAATAACTGATCTCCATACCGCTCTCCTGTGTGTAATTTAGGCTGTGATGTGATTGGCAGCTTGTTACAGCTTGTTAGTGTACGGCTAGCATGATCCTGTCCTCAAATAGTCAATCACGTATCGATGGATCAGATCTCAATGGATCAAATCAGCATTATATTAGGACTGTAGGAGCAACGTCACAAGATTACACGTGAGCTTGTGAAATACGAACGTGAGCCGAAATTGCAAATGTGATCCGAAAGTTGGACAGATGTCGCCAAAAACGACTCCTATCTGACAGCGACTCTTGTCCGAAACCGGTAATTCGACTGTCGGACAGATGTCACCCAATCAAATCTGTGGTAGTTAATACAATGTGAATCATAATAAAATGTATCGTTCATTTCGTCTAAATATAATGAATCAATCTATTGGCAATCATGTTCAACATGATAGTCATAACATCATAATTTATACAACAACATAACGGATTACTAATATCGGGTTGCACCAAGCACCCACAACAAAATGAGAAGTTTGTATCGCATGAAGTTAACGAAAGCTTAAACGACAAATATCAATGCGAATCAAAATGTATAATAGCGAAAAGAGATATACATGCGCGACGTACACGATTTATTAGCTCGATTCTTGGTATAGAATACACCTTGACATAAAAGCATTGTAAAATGCGCGCGCGACCATCAAGTGATAATTTGTAAAGGAGCACGTGTTTGCGGAGGTTAATGCATGTTTTGCTTTGTGACAAATGGTTCTCCGAAAAGATACAATTAACACTGGATACCTTGCTCATCTGTTGAGTTGTGAAATATTGATTTCATATAAATTGTTTATCAAGTCAGCAATCATAATACTTATTGTAACAATTCTTTGTACTGTTATTGTATTGACGTCTGGCCTCTGGCTGATCGTAATAGCCGTAAGATTGAGTCGTCGACAAGGCAGATCTGTTAATCTTCAGGGAATCTTAACTGTCATTTTAATTACGGGTGTCTATTGTGTGAGCTTTGTGCCACTATTAGGACAATATGTCTTTATGATGATTTATGGTTTTGCAATTACATATGGATACACGTACATGTTCTGTATGTGTATTCCATATTTAAATAACATTGCAAACATATTTATTTACACAATTTCCTTGAGAAGCTTCCAGAATTTCGTCAAAGCAAAATTCTTGTCGCGGATATTTCCGTGCATACTGCATAAGTACCCAAACAATAACAGGCCGAATAAGTAATGCTCGAACCATCAATGAATCATTACGAATTGATGCCACTCAAAAGAGAATACGAAATGAGGTTATTGAAATTGATGCCACTCTTAAAAGGATAAAGGAAGAGGTTAATGAAACAGTTTCAATTCAAAATAGGGGGCAAGATGATGTTAATAATGAAACTGATGCAGCTCCAAAGAGAATACAAGAGGAGGTTATTATTGAAACAAGTTGAAATTCAAAGAGGGAGACAAGAGGAGTCTGACGAAACTAAGCTGTAGACTATTTAGGGAGAATTAACTCTTGTTCTACCATTTGCTTTTTGATGAATCCAAGCAAACCACTTATCTTACTATACCATTTTACTGACAACAGGGCATCAACTTTAACGCGACTTTCCGCAAAAAACCGTAAAAGATATACAACTGAAACTTTTTTGACTGGGTCAAATGCTTTAATGGCCTCCAAATCAGCGTGAAAAAATAAAAAATTGGCCAAGAAATAGGAGTTTAAGAGCCCAAAATGTTGACCCTCAGTGGTGTCAAAAACACGAATTAAATAGGTAATAATTATTTAGTCTCTTGAGTCTTGACACCATTTTAGGGTTGTACGGGTTCCTGCTAGTATTTATAATGGATGAAAAAGATAATATGTAACAATGCTACTTACGTAAATTAATTTCAATTCTTGATATTTTAGTTCTAAGATTTTATATTTAGATCTTTGACACATTCCTTATATGCATCTATCGAAACAGTTTAAAGTATATTCTCTCTATGATCAATTAGTAGAGTGATTTGTTTTTAGTTAGTAATAAAGCACAACCCAAAAACTAAATTAAAGTTCCAATTTGCCAGAAAATTATGTTTCGTGACAAACCGAAGTAACATTCACTGATTAGTAATAATTGATCATCTCTTAGTAATGGGTAACACAAAGATGGTGTACCGGATGGTTCCGTAAACACTATATTATAAATACAAATACTAATAGGAGGTTCATTGTGGTTCATTGTAGGCTGGACCAAAAGCAGGGCTTTCCCTAACTCACGGAACAGACCTCTCAGCAAAGTGTGATACCTCGCCTTATGGAACACTCAATTTCAAACCTGACCCGATGAAATTTATATGCATAATATATGTCCTTTATTGGCAGCGAGTTTATGCATGGTATATCTATATAGTTATCGTTATCTCATCACTAATCAAGTTCTTATTTGGATAAGTCAAAAACCGAGGGCAGAAAAATTCAAATTATTAGAATAGACTCAGCTCACGAGATTTATTTTGGCAATAATATAATTATTATTACTGATAGACTGTCAGACAATGAAGTAATGCAATATATTTATAATTTTTATCCTTAAACTCGTGCTTTTAAAAGCCATGTTTTAATGTATGTTTCTTAATCGGTCGATTGAAAAGTTTGCTGAAAATATAATATTGTTTAATCATCCTCTCAGCCGACTTTAAAATCAACTGGTGAACTAGACACACACATTATCACACATTATCACACATTATCACACACACACTATCATGACGCATCAACAAATTTAGTACAGATGAATAAATTTTACTGTGATCCATTAAAACGTATTATTGAATAGAAGTATATACGCTGTTTTTGAGACAGTTACTTTTTCAATTCTATGCGAACTCCTTTGTGTTCGGATCTAACATATTTATTTTAGTTCATTAGCCGATAGCTTTGTTGAACACTAAATAAACAGCGCAAACATAGAGGAATATCAGCCGTTATTTTGTTAGAATTATTTCTTGTTTGTTAGATTTCCTGCTCATAAACCTAGAAATACGTGTACACACTACACAGTACACACATTACAAAGGCGAAAGTCGCAAGCTTAGAAATAAATTGATTAGTTTAAAAATCTGTTTACCGTTATTTTGTACCCTTGGCAACGAAAAATGGTAAATGTATCAGCTCCTTCCAACAACGAAAGTCTGTTTGAGGGATACAAGATGTATTTTCACAGACATCTGAACAAAGATGTAAACCCTGATTTGGCTCGTTCACTTTTCTCTACGTTCTTCCTTCTCGGCACACTGATTGGACTGATTGGAAGTACTATAATCTTAATAGCGACTAAAAAGAAAGCAATAAGGTTGGACAAGATTACAACTGCACTTATTCAACATATCGCAGTTCTGGATCTCTTGACTACACTCATTATTCTTTTCCCTACTAGCTTGGCGGCCATTACGGATCGTTGGTTGTTAGGTGAACTATTCTGTGCATTTCAGGCATACACGAGATGGTTTCTAGTGGGTCTAAGCGCTCTTTTGATTACCGCTTTGAATTGTTCCAAACTGGCTTTGATGTTGTTTCCCTTCAAAGGAGCACGATGGACTCGTCGACAAGGACACATTCTGGGCGGTTGCATGTGGACTTTCTCAGGAGCACTTATAATGAGTTTTGTTCTGCAAAAAGACACAAGATCTGAGTACTGGTTCCTTCTCCTTAGCTGTGAAATGATGATTTCTAAACGATTGTTTATTAAGTCAGCCGTCATACTCATAGCTGTAACTGTCCTTTGCACTGTCATCGTAATAATTTCTGGCCTCTGGCTGATCGTAATAGCCGTAAGATTGAATCGTCGACATGAGAGATCCGTTAATCTTCAGGGAATCTTAACCGTAATCCTTATCGCAGTAGTCTATTGTGTGAGTTTTTTACCCCTTTTAGGGTATCACGGCGTTTTTGTGGATGCCGGTGAAATTAGTGTATACACGGGAATGTTTTGTAATTGTATTCCATATTTAAACACCATTGCAAACGTATTCATTTACATAATTTCCTTGACAAGCTTCCGGAATTTCGTCAAATCAAAGTTCAGTACGATATGTGCGTGTTTCATAACCCAGAGAATAATAGCCCGAATTGAAATTGCTCAAACTATCAGCGTATCGTTAACTGACGCCACTCAAACCAAGAGACAACAAGAGGTCATTGAAATAGTGGCAACTCTAACGAGGAGACAAGTCAATGAAACTGAGATGTAGGCTGTTTCAATAGAATCTAATCTCGTTATAGCATTTTTCTGTGGACTCAGAAGCCGCCATTTAACCTCAGAACTACCGTTGACTTTCTACGGAATAAAGTTTAGATAAATTAATACAAAGTTATTCAAAAAGTAAATTTTCACCAGACTTTTCTGTATTCTGTATTTCTACTCATCATGCGTATTTGCTATCTTATTCCGAATATAGTCCTGCCCAAGGCAATTTACTGAGGTTGATTTATTCTTTTGCTTTTACACTTTGTAACCCCACTGGTGCTTCTTCTACGATTCTAGAGCTAGAATGAAGTATGATAACTATACCCTGTATGGTATCCACGACCCCACAGAAAGGCAGCTTCTTACTGCATACACCTCTACCATAGCCACCTCATCTCTTATAGGCGATGCTCTAATATTGATAGGATCCTTGAGATACAATGCAATTAATCTTCATAAAGTCATGGTTGCATTTATTCAGTACATTGCTCTCACTGATATCATCCTGGTGATTTTCACTGTCTTGCCTGAAGCAGTCTCACTAGCTCTGAACATATGGGTGTTCGGTGAACTCTTCTGTCGTGTAGAGTATTGTGTTACCTACAGTGTTATAGGAACTTTCCTCTTCCTAATCGTTGCGCTGTCTCTGACAAAAATACTGATCCTGAAGTATCCATTTAGAGCTGGCAATCTCTCCACAAAGATCGCTCATATTTCATCGCTCGCCTTCTTCATTAGCTGCTTCGTATTAGCAGCGCTGCCTGCCCTGACAAAGATAGATGGTATCTACTTCAGCTACCTGACCTACACCTGTGTGTTCAGCAGTTCTTCATCGCAAGACAGTTGGTTCTTAAAGATCTGCTTCACCTTAAACGGATTATTAGGCCTCATTGGTTTGGTAGTTATCATGGTGAGCAATGTCATGATTATCATCACAGCTAAGAAGATTGCTGCTAGAGGACCAGGAGACTCCAGTGGAGGGGGGTGATGACAGTGGTGCTCACTGTAGCTGTCTTCACTGTCGCTAATCTACCGGGGGCTATCTACAATGTTGGGAGCTACTTTGTGAAGGATACCTCACTGGACACCTCACCGGACACCTCACCGGACACCTCGGAGATGTCCCAGTTCTGGAATGTTTCCTTCTTTAGGATTGGGTATGCAACTATGTCCTTGAATTTGATGTCCAACTTCTACATCTATACGCTGACTCTCAGCAGCTTTAGGGAGTTCCTTAAATCTAGGATTATGACAATATCAGCCCCCCTCGTGAGATTTTTTACTCAAACTAAAGTTCGAGTAAATTCTGGGGAAGAGGGACGACAAAGACTTATTTGTGAGTGATGAAGAGCTGACTTTACGAAACTCAATCTCGTATTTTTGATGGACAACAGAAGAAGTAAGAAAATGGGTAAAATGAACTAGTGAAACGGTATATTTTCTGTTGAAATGATCTATTTGAATCGTTTAAAGAAATGAACACCGCTGATTAACAAACTGATGAGATATTAATCAGGAAGACGTTTTCAAATTAGTCGTGTTGCTATAGTCCCTAAAAGTATGACTTCTTATCTCTGCTGATAAACAATGAAAAACTATCTATAATAACTATAATAAAAAACTATCTGTATTGTCATTGATTAACGGAAATATAGAAAATATATGGGATTAACATTTACCACTTTGTTATTTTATTGCGTTTTATCACTACGTGTTGAAACATATTATTGAACTATTTTTATTAAAAATAAAGTTAAATTATGGATCATGTCTTTTTAGTACCTTTAGTTTTAAATTTTGTTTAGCTTCGTCTGTTTCTTTCTAAACTTCAGTCGAGAATTGGATATGAGTTTTATTTTTACACATCAAATTCAATGCATCCTGCAATTTACGTTTGTTTCAATATTTCTTTATCCTTGACGATGACAAAAGAGTTTCGCTCAATTTTCGATTACAATTGATTAAGCAAAAGTTACATGTTGTACAACTGTGACACTTTCTTTCTGATTGGCCGAGTGCTACCGTTACATAATATACACATGATTTATCTACTCGCGATTTCTCGATTGCTAGAGCATTGTCTGGCAATAATTTCCATGACAATCGCATGCTAGCTCAATTCGAAGTGCGGCAAAGCGAATAAGACTAGCTTTTCAACAAGCTTTAAAAGATGTCACGTGACTCTTAACAATGCTTTCCAATTACTGTCACGTGCACTTTTACTTGAATTGCTCGATTGCTACGATTTGCTTATAAACGATGAGGGTAAAAACTTCGACTCATTTTAACTGCAAATTCTTGCCAGTTGCCCGTTGTGACAGAATTTTCTCTAGCAAACGAACAACTCTACGTTTTTGCTAGAGAGGTGCAGTCCACTGCTTAAAACCGTGAACACGTTTCGCTGGACATTAAATCAGCAAATGAGTACCTAGCAACCTGGAATCACAGTCATGCTTGCATAGTTTAAATTACTTTTAAAATAGTACATGCTAAGGAGAGTTGCAAAAGTTTAAACTAATCACTCTCAATCTTTGTCGTGGAGTATTCATTTTGCTTCATGCTTTTCAAGTCAAACACGATATCAACACTGCTGCTCTTGAGCTGTTGCATGCTGCTGATGCATCTTCGTTGTGTAGTAATTGGTATTATTACTAAAAAATCAGATACCCACCATCTGCCCAAATTGCTTTAAACTTTGCTTTACCTTTATGTTTCTTAAAATTCATCTACCACACATCATCAGAGAAAATGGCAGACGGAGGCGGCGCCACACGACCAAGAATAGCAGCTGAAGACCGAGGTCCAGGATCCGGTAAATATGCCCCTAACATGGCTCCCACAAGGAAGGCAGCTCCTTCACACAGTTTCGGCAAGAAAATAGATAAAGACATCTCTAAGATCGACGATTCTCCCGGTCCCAAGTACGGTGTTGCCGACGTGATGACAACTAAAGGACCGGTGAGGAACCCTCAGTTCAGTCTGGCCAGTCGACAGAGAGACCCCATCCCCTTCAACACCCCTGGACCTGGCTCTTATCAGGTAGTTATGAAACTAGTCCGACCTATTAACCGAATGAGCTGGATCTACTAAAACTTGGGCGTTTGCCACGGAGGTTTTTAAGTCAAGTTCACGCCATCAACTAACAATAACATTAAATACTGCTAGTTAGTAACACGATTCAAATTACTGAAAATTAATGAAATAAATTATCAGGTAGAGAAGTGCAACGTTCCAGGTGAGCGAAGATCGTCTGCCTTCTCAATGGGAATGCGAACAAGATACAGGAAGAGGGACCAAGTTCCAGCACCCAGTCAGTACTCTCTGCCCGTCACCATGGGAAGCAAGGCAAGTCTTACATTAGTTCGGCACTCTTATGGCGTAAAAACATTATACAAGGTGTTCCAACTTGGCGGAGCCCCAGAGCAAGTCACGGAATGGCTAAGTCCTGAAAACTTTCTAATATCTTACTGATAAGATTTAAATTATATGTCTAAATAAACATCTGTAACTTAAAATGAGCAAACAGTTTCATTCGATTTTTACGTCAAATGATCGAGATATCGGTAAAACTAAAATTCGATTGGTAAAAGTCGGAAAAAAAATGTTATGTACATTTTTCATTATCATAATTGAGGCAAAATCTGGTATTAGATTTTGCTTTAAAACCAAATTCAATTGAATAAATCTACCTTAGTCGTGAAATCAATACCTACATATTTTAACTTACATATTTTTGTAGTTGACAACCAGCAACATGAGAGCAAGCCGAGCATTCGGATTCAACAGCAAGCCCAAAAAGGGAGGATATGATGAGGATCTTGCCGGAACCCCTGGACCAAACAACTACGCTACACACGATGACAATGTGAACCGAGTCAAGGCCCCAATTCCTTCCTTAGCCACGAGGACATACATTCCTGGTGACCCAACCTTGAAACCCGGTCCTGGAGCTTACAGCCCTGAAAAGGTACATTTCTGTTAAATTATTTCTTTCGTATAAAAATACGTAATGCAAAATAATGTTTCTTACTGAAGAATTAAGTCTAATGATTCTTACTAAAGAATTAGGTCATGCTTCATTATTTCACGATCATATATTAGAAGCGTGTCGAATCTTTAATATCTTACTTGCAAAAGTTGATCATTGAAACTGTATCACTCGAACACTCGGTGATGATCAGAACACTTTCTTCTTTTCAGGTCACCATACATAAACCAAGAGCACCTGGCTTTAACGTTGGAGTCAAGCATTCCGAGTACACGACACCACTCATTGTTGAATAAGTTGGCAAGGTGTGTACATTGAACAACTCTGATAGATTTAATAGAAGTTTAATTATCTTAACCCAGGTATATATCAACAAACCGAGGTGCAAGGCTCATCCAATAGGAATAAAACACTCCGACTTCACAACTCTGTTATTGTAAACGATTATAAAGGTTTGGTAGACATTAGACAAGTGACTGCTGTCTAGAGAGATTAGAAGATAGCTAGACTTTTGAATAAATTGGGATTCGATAGTTAAAATTATATTATAAGAGATGTAGCTGCTATTTACTAGCTCCCAATAGTTTTAGCAAATCTGTGCCTACAATACAAATATTTCAGGGAATCACATAGAAAATCTAGGCATCTACCAGAGGGTTGGTTCAATCATCAGAGAAACAGCCGAGTTCACACCTAAATATTCCGGCACACTTTCACTCTCAGACATTGCTATGGAAGTTTGGAGAAGTTTCAGGTTTTCCAAGAAGCTAGATTCAAAGATTTAAACGTAGGATGGGTTCTGGACTGCTTTTAACAATTGGGATGGAGGGAACTTTTTCATGTTGTAGAGATTGTGATTTATAATCGAAATGAAGTTTATCTTTTAAGTTTCGCTATTTTATAAGATGGTATTCCCGTTATTCCAAAGAAATTTATAATATTACTTATTCTAGATATCACATCGTTTTAGAATGAGTTATTTTACTGGATTACAATAGTTATACCCAAAATTTGAGCTACAATAAACATAAATATAATAATATAAGTATTAATATGTCCATTATCTGAAATCAGTAAATTGCTTGCGAGTGACTTGCAGTATGCGTTGTGAATAATGCCGGTGTTGATTAGAAACGACTCAATAAATGTATTAAGGACAATTGCACAAGAAGCAAAAAGAACACGGAAGGTACCTGCTTACTGCTGACTGACAAGCAGATCACTATTTTCTCCAACCTTCAGGCCAAGATTGGAGATTAAACTACAAGTGTATTACTCCTTTGGATATATTATCATAGATCTAACCGGGAAATAGTCGTACCAAACCCGGACTAAAAACATAAGTTGTATCTCATTTCTCAATGAAGAGCTCAAATAGTACATTTACAATAATGGAGATTTTCAGGAATGTTACTAAGCAACGCGAACAGCATCACACCACGCTTACAATTTATGCGTGCGAAAGTACTGCTCAGTTGATTAACTGTAAAATGAGGGAGGTCCGAGGTACCGACCAAGTTTCTACCGGTCTGACTGGTAATTTTAAATATTACCGATCGTGCAGAAGTTCTGAGGGGACATTTTTGCTAGTATTTTACATGTCTTAGCTTGATTATAGTTGTACAAATGAATGAAGTTACATTACACATGGAAATTTAGCTTAAAATCGTCATTTCACGGAGAGGGGTGTGTACACGAAAGAGTTTTTTAAAAGTATTAAAATACTTTCAACACTGTACTATGCAACAAATAATTTGAATACAAACATGATAATCGTTAAGATTTTCAAATATTTCAGGCCACAAAATTTCGTATCACTATCAATCAATGTAAAATGTACGTGCCAACATTTAGAATTGGCGGTCGAGATCACAGATAATTACAGTAGTGGGTTTCTCAGGATCTTCTGCTCGAAACACTAGGAACTCTGTAGTGTAGAGTACTGTACATACTTAACTAGAAGTCCGGAGGGGGATTATTTAAAACATATAATTGATACGAAAAGTTTGTTTAGCAGGACCTTTCGAAATACATGGGTAAATCGTCTTCAGGTGTGCTAGAAGTATTTCTGGTTGTACAACTTTTAAAACGCGATTAATAGTGGTTCGGTAATGCTCGGACAGATTCCAATGGGTATTTAGATTGAGTGATCTTATACTGAGAACCTTTATTCATACCGTGACCATCAATACAAAATAAGTTCACTGACGTTTTATCTATAATTCGAAATAAAAATATTTTTGTTAAATGGACAGGCTTTGTATTGTATATGCAATACCGGAGATGATCCGGCAGTACCCAGGAATAATCGACTCGACTTACTCTCGTTACTTTTTAGTATTCAATTTCATTTAATTTCAGATAGAGCTAGTATAGGAACACTACAAGGAAGCATAAAGTTAACTCGAAGAGTCCTAGAAAGTAGCCTCGACCCCCGAGTTATAACTCTTAAAGAAAACTACAAGTTATCGTTAATCTATTTAAATTAACCTTAAATAACCTCCAGGTTAGCCTGCAAGTAACCTTGGCTCTAATCGAAATAAAGCTTATCTGATCACGAAGTTAACTTTCAAAAAGCATGCAGTTGACCCGAAGTTTGCTATTCGTCATCTTCCAATAATATCGTTCTAAATATTTTAAATCCTATCGGCTCTCGGATTTTCTCTTGGATCCGATAGGATTTGAGTATCCTATCGGGTCCGAGAGCAACTCCTATCGCCAATCGGAATTGTTGAATCCTATCTTCGCTAGGACTTGCTCTCGGATCCCATAGGATTTGCATTTCCTATCGGGTCCGAGAGCAAATCCTATCTTCTCTCGGCCGGAATTGACAGATCCTATCGCCGCTCAGCGGTATCCAGCTAGGGGGGAGTCAGAACTCCGATCGCCGTATTAGGGTTGATAAACTCAGAGCTATCTCGAACATGCTAGAGGGTAAATCCAAAGTAACCCAATCTGATTAAAATCGCAGAAATCGCCCTTCGTTCGTTCTGATCTGATCTGATATGAGGCCGGCCTTGTCATACGTTGTATGACCCGCCGCGCACGAAGTGCGCGGCTCCCCCTGTAGCGTCGAAGACGCTACACACTATAGTGAAGCGACCGTGGGGGTCACCACGTGATACAAGGCCGGCCCAGAGCTAGCTATATAATATATAGCTTAGCAAGAATAAGCGCAGCTAAGAGAAGATAAATGTGCGTGCGCAAATGTAGTTTTGATCTTATCGCGTGTTACACAAAGTTGGTGTCCTGATTGAAAATGTTGAGACAACTTAACTGGGTCAGTTGGATAACAGCATTAATTAGGCATTTGCACGTGTTATGATTTGGGGTATTCAATCAGAACTGGTTGCGACAAAAATGATTCACAAAAAAAAGTTAAAAAATTTGCCTTACCCACGGTAATGATCAATAAATGAAACACACGATCTAAGATGAATAAAAACGAAAGAAATTATATTCTCAATTTCTGGAAGAACCATCTGCTTTTGGCGGTTTTATACTTCTCTTCAAGAATACTCTTCACTTGAGATAAAGCTTTCCTCTTAAGAGCGGGATCCTTGATAGAGTTCTTATTTAAAACCTCCTTGTCGAGAGGGAGATCCAGCTGGTATCTTGTAGGTTGGAGGTGGTTGCAGTTGTAGACTTTAACAAACGGTTTGATCTTGCTCCTCTTGTTCTGTTTCGTCTTGCCCATACTTTTTGTTACTTTCTTAGGGTATCTAGAAATACCGATCACAAGAGCATGACCGTAGGGTCGCTCACCGGTACCCTCCTCTTGACTCTTGATAATCACTGCTTTTCGTCCAGCATTTCTCCCGTTGAGAACCAGAACAACCTTCCCTGGCTTTACTATTCGGCCCATTCTAGTGAGAAGTTAATTGTTAGGAATGTGTACCTTAAAGTCTACACTCAAAAAGGGATCTTGCGGTGTAAAAACTCATGTATTATTTTATAAAGGCTCCACATCCATTTCACACATCCCTATCCCCCCTAATTTTCATCAAAATAGTAAAAGACATTTTGGGAGATTTTTAAATAGGAGCTTTTCTGCTGTCCCCTTGATATTTCAGTTTTCACTAAACTTTTCACCAGGCAGATATATAAGGTGGTAAATAAATGTCAGAATTATATTATAAATAATAAATATAGCTTATTGGAAATACGATAAATTTGCTAATTCTTACTTTGAAGACAAGACAAGATCAATGGGTTGAATTAATGGTTAGATATATCAATGGTTATGATTCACAGTAATAGCAACAAAATCATAATTTCTCAATCTTATTTTATAGAACGAATTGCACAATCTTGTTATTGAAATCAGAAAAATTGCTTTCAAAAATAGCTCTTAACATTTGAGGAGATTATTTATAGACTATAAATGCAATGATTGATCATAAATGTTATAAAAGAGGAAGTAAACTGATATTCTCTACCAGTGAATACCCTGCTATCTAATAAATTGTGACTGATCAGAGCAAGTATAATGTACTTGTATAAAAACATTGCTGGCAATTTTAGAGTTTCTGTTCCGTGTGAGTACGTTGGTGTCTGATAAGATTTGATTTAGGGGGGGGGGGGGGGGGGGGGCTCATGTTATTTTTTGTCCGTTTTTGTCCGTTTTTGTCCGTTAATTTTTGTCCGTTTTGAAAATATAGCTGCCAAACGGACAAAAACGGACAAAAACGGACAAAAACGGACAAAAATTGTAACTTTTGATTTAAATTTTCTCCACAATTTGTAACAGGCTATCTGCAGAAATGGGTAGCCCGGTTAATGACCATGGTCCTTTCTCAAACTTTTAATCTTCAATTAGGCACAAAGAATAGTCTACACATTTTTTAATAACATAAAAAGGGATGAAAAGTTTTATTACTGGAGAGTAAAACTTTGTTAAACACAAAGATTCTTGAGCACATTTTGAGTCAGACTCAAATGCGCTTAAAAACATTTTAGTATATAACAATAAATTATGTTAACAATAACACCAACAATGATTATAAATTGAACAAATTATTGAGAGATGAAAGAGAGGAAAAGGAGGAGGGGGGACTGAGGAGGGGGACTGAGGAGGGAGAGGAGGGGGGCTGAGGAGGAGTGAGACTGAGAAGGAGAACTGAGGAGGAGGAATGAATAGGAGGAGGAGAAGAAGGACTCAAGAGGAGGAGGACCCAAGAGGAGGAGGACCCAGGAAAAGGCCCCATGAGGAGGACTGGGGAGGAGGAGGACCGATGAGGACTGATGAGGACTGATAAAGAGGACTAAGGACGAGGAGGAGGAGGAGGAGAAGGAGGTGTATGAGGAGGATGAGGAGGAGAAAGGAGATAAAGGATGAGGATAAGGAGGACTGAGGAGGAGGACTGGTGAAGAGGACTGATGAGGAGGAGGACTGAGAAGGGGAGGACTTAGGAGGACTGAGGAGGGGAGGACTTAGAAGGAAGAGGAGGATTGAGCAGGAGGAGGACTGAGGAGTAGAAGGAGGAAGAAGACTGAGGAGGATCAGGAGGACCCAGGAAGAGGAGGAGGACTGAGGAGAAGGACTGAGGACTGAGGAGGAAGAGGAGGAGGATGAAGAGGAGGAGGAGGACCCAGGAGGAGGAGGACTGAGGAGGATGATGAGGACTGCAGAGGAGGAGGACTGAGGAGGACTGAGGAGGACTGAGGAGGACTGAGGAGGATGGCTGAGGAGGAGGAGGAGGAGAAGGTGGAAGAGGAGGAGGAGGAGAAGGAGGGGGAGGAGGAGGAGAAGGAGGAGGAGGAGGAGGAGGATGAGGAGGAGGAGGAGGAGGAAGCATCTAAACGTTATTTCAATTTTTGTTATTTTTTGTCCGTTTTTGTCCGTTTTTGTCCGTTTTTGTCCGCTTTATTTTTTGTCCGTTTTGAAAATATAGCTGCCAAACGGACAAAAACGGACAAAAAAACATGATCCCCCCCCCCCCCCCCCCCGATTTATCAGAGCAAGTATATGAACATTCGTTGCACTTGTAGGGTTTCTCTCCCGAGTGAGTCCTCATATGCACTGTGAGATGACCTTTTTGAGCAAAACAATTTGAACATTCCTTACACCTGTAGGGTTTCTCTCCCGTGTGAGTACGTTGGTGTATAATAAGACTTGATTTATCAGAGCAAGTATATGAACATTCCCTACACTTGTACGGTTTCTCTCCCGTGTGAGTACGTTGGTGTATAGTAAGACTTGATTTAACAGAACAAGCAAATGAACATTCGTTGCACTTGTAGGGTTTCTCTCCCGTGTGAGTACGTTGGTGTATAATAAGATTTGATTTAACAGAACAAGTATATGAACATTCCTTACACCTGTAGGGTTTCTCTCCCGTGTGAGTACGTTGGTGTTTAATAAGATTTGATTTAACAGAACAAGTATATGAACATTTGTTGCACTTGTAGGGTTTCTCTCCCGTGTGAGTACGTTGGTGTATAATAAGATTTGATTTAACAGAACAAGTATATGAACATTCCTTACACCTGTAGGGTTTCTCTCCCGTGTGAGTACGTTGGTGTATAATAAGATTTGATTTAACAGAACAAGTATATGAACATTCCTTGCAGTTGTAGGGTTTCTCTCCCGTGTGAGTACGTTGGTGTCTGATAAGCGTTGATTTAAAAGAGCAAGTATATGAACATTCCTTACACTTGTAGGTTTTCACTCCCGTATGAATACCTAAATGTTTCACAAGATCACTGTTCTCACTACAGGTATAAGAACAATCGTCACATTTAAAAGCTTTCCCAGCAGGAGAAGTATTCTCTTTGCCCAACCTGGTTGATAAAGGTAAAGAGTTTAACAAGACATTTGTAGTAGACATATCATTCATTGTTTCACCATGATGTTCTCTGATATGTTCCACAAAGAACTCATCATAAAGGAAGTGAGCCTCACATTGCGGACAAATGAAACCATGTGATATTCCAGTCACCTCCTCCTGCTCTGTTTTTATTTCCTTCTTTATTGGAATTAAAGTTATGTTACTCCTTTCTTTATCAGCAGCTGTTGAGGATCCTTTACTTCGTGTTAACATTACAAACTTTCCTGGATAAATTACTGATTAATAACATCAAAATACACAAACTTTCCAAATTCAAATATCTACATATTTAATTACCAGTGGGTATAGATATTTGGAATAATAAATTCTAATATTTAGACCACCCTTAGACATCTCTATTCCATCGGTACCATCAACCATGCAGATATATAATGTGGTAAATAAATGTCAGAATTATATTATAAATAATAAATATAACTTATTGGAAATACGATAAATTTGCCAATTGTTACTTTAAAGACAACACACGATCAATGGGTTAAATTAACTAGCAGGAACCCGTCTAACCCAGAACTCTAAAGTGGTGTCAAGACTCGAGAGACTAAAATAATTATTATCTATTTAATTCGCGTTTTTGACACCACTTGGGAGTCAAAATTTTGGGCACTAAAATTATTATTCCTTGGCCAATTTTTTATTTTTTCATGCTGATTTGAAGGCCCTTAAAGCATTTGACCCAGTCAAAAAAGTTTCAGTTGTATATCTTTTACGGTTTTTGCGGAAAGTTGCGTTAAAGTTGATACCGTGGTGTCAGTAAAATGGCACGGATAAACACATCCATATATATCGTCTCGCTTTATATATAGTAAGATAAGATGGTTAGATTATATATCAATGATTATGATTCACAGTAATAGCAACAAAATCATAATTTCTCAATCATATTTTATGGAACAAATTGCACAATTTTGTTATTGAAATCAGAAAAATAGCTCTTAACATTTGTGGAGATTATTTATAGACTGGGTAAACTGGGTAAATTATCCCCTTCTGATATCGAACAGGGTTTTGGTAGATATATGGGGAAATACGGAATGGGAGTAAGGAACGAAAATGGTTCTAGATTACTGGATTTTATCTCAGAAAATAATCTGTTTGCTGTGAACACTAGTTTTATACAACCTAGCAGACGTGTTACATCATTTACTGGTTGGCGGAAGGATTGGTCGGCTGGTCGGTACAGTAAGAAGACACTGCCTGTATACTCTCAAATAGATTACATACTATGCCGAAATAGATCTAAGTGTCTTTTGACTCAATCAAGAACTTATGCTGGTACTAAAACATTTTCAGATCATAGACTTGTCATTGCTCGCATCAATTTCAGCAACATTCATCTTTGTTTCAAACCTAAACAACGTCGTGTTCCTTCTTATAATATATCAGAACTTGTAAGCAACAAAGATATGCAACATAAATATCACTTGGCCCTTGAAGGCAAGTTCTCAAATTTTGTGACCAGCAACGATCCAAATGCCGACCTTCAAAATCTTATGTCTCATATTTGTGATGCTGCCAATGTTTCCATCGGCACAAAACCTAAAGCTCGCTTGAAACATCACAGCAGTGATGACACTCTCAAAGAGCTTGTTGAAAAGCGTCACGATCTCCGACAGCTACTTAACAATAATCAATCTCTTGATCGAACTACATTGAGGTCATCCATCAACCACCTCACTAATAGTATCCAGAAAAGATTAGTTGAAGTGAGGTCTGCTCAAGCTGATCAGACCTATAGTGATATTACTAACACAAACGATTCAAGGAAAATGTTTGAAGCAGTAAGACATCTTCAGAAAAGTAAACCACCTAATAACTCGATTGGTGTTCATGATGAAAATGGCTGTTTGATTGCATCTGACGACATGAAAGCTTCTGTTGTTAGAGACTATCTCGAAAAACAGCTGACTCGCAATGAGCAACCTCTCGAGCCTTTTGAGGGTCTACCACGTGCTCTCAATGTCCCTTTTACTGGATTTGAAATACATGCAGCCACCTCTAGCTTGAAAAATGGGAGGGCAAATGGTCCCGATGGAATACCCAACGAGCTAATTAAGTACTCTAATAGTACAGTCCATGAACATTATGCTGGAATCATCAACAGTTGTTTCGAGACACATACTTTCCCCATTTCCATTGGAGAGGCTACTATAACACCCTTACAGAAGCCAAAAAAACCTATTGGTCCTCTGAAGAATTTACGTCCACTCACCTTGTCCAATGCAGCCAGAAAAATTCTGTCTATGGCTACTCTTAAAAGGATAGAAGAAAAAGTGAACGCCTTCACTGGTCCATGGCAGTGTGCATATAAACGCGCTCGTTCTTGTGCTGATATTGTTTGGTTTCAGCGAGTTCTACTGTCAGTTGTCCAAAGGAAGAAATGGGAGTATCATCGCATGGGCATTGATATGTCTAGTGCGTTTGACACGATCAAACGCACTACGATTCTTGAACTCCTGAAACTGTGTGGCTGTACTGAGGATGAGCTGAGGATTGTCCGGTTGTTGTTGTCCAACACAAAGCTACGGGTGAAGGTAAATGGAGTTCTTTCAGCTGAGTTTTTAAGTCTTCTTGGAGCTTTCCAAGGTGACTGTCTATCCGGCTGTCTGTTCACCCTTGTCTTGGCTGGTGCTTTGAATGAACTTAGATGGACTATAACAATCAGTTTAGATAGGCCGATCCCCCCGATTACTATTGCTGGCCTTCCACTTGACACTGAATATGCTGATGATGTTGACTTCAATGATGAAGAGGAAGACAACTTGAGAGTTATTTTGCCCCAGGCAACAGCTATACTCGAGAAATGGAACCTCTTTGTCAATGAAGACAAAACGGACTTCACTCATGTTTATTTAGCTAGTACGGGTGAAGTCGACAGTGATGGAAAATTAGTGTCGGGGAATGAAGCATGGAGGAAAAGTATCACTCTAGGGTCCGTCTTGTGTAGCAAAGCTGATATTCAGCGTCGCATAAACCTGGGATATGCTGCCTTTAACAATTACAAGAAGGCCTGGAGTGATAAACTGCCCCTAAACAAACGTCTAATACTGTATAATGCTTTAGTCGTATCGGTTCTTATGTACAACTCATCCTGTTGGGCCGTCCCCAAAATATTCCTTGAAAAACTAGATGTTGTTCACCGCAGACATCTTCGCACTATTTTGAATATAAAGTACCCAGGAGTCATCTCCAACAAAAACTTGTATAAACGCTGCAATGCTGAACCATTGTCAGAAAAAGTGGCCCGTAGTCGGTGGAGAATGTTAGGACATGTTTTGCGGGGTCCTATTGACGGACCAGCGTTTTCTTCCCTCATTTTTGCCATCAATACACTGGACTTACCAGGGAGAAGAGGAAGACCCCAAAGCAATCTTTTCTCGCTGATTGTGCATGATTTATGTAAAAGAAATCTTTATTTGAATAATATCTTTGACCTGCATTATCTCCGTAATTTGAGTTATGACAAGAGATATTGGCGGAAATTGCAATGAAGTTTTTAATTTTTTGTTTTTGTTTTAGGGAAAGATTAGACTCGGGCGTTGTTTTTTAACTATCCCTTGTTTAGAACTTTGATTTAATAATAATAATTTATAGACTATAAATGCAATCTTTGATCATAAATGTTATAAAAGGGGAAGTAAACTGACATTCTCTACCAGTGAATACGCTGCTATCTAATAAATTGTGACTGATCAGAACAAGTATAATGCAGTTGTATAAGAACATTCCTGGCAATTTTAGAGTTTCTGTCCTGTGTGAGAACGTTGGTGTCGGGAAAGACTTGATTTAATAGAGCATGCAAATGAACATTCTTTGCACTTGTAGGATTTCTCTCCCGTGTGAGTCCTCATATGTAATGTGAGATGACCTTTCTGAGCACAAGAATATGAACATTCCTTACACTTGTAGGTTTTTTCTCCCGTGTGAGTCCTCATATTATGTTTCTTGAGATCACCTTTCTGAGCACTAGAATATGAACATTCCTTACACCTGTAGGGTTTTTCTCCCGTGTGAGTACGTTGGTGTTTAGTAAGACTTGATTTAACAGAGCAAGTATAGGTAATAGGAACAATCGTTGCACTTGAAAGGTTTCTCTCCCGTGTGAGTACGTTGGTGGGTAATAAGACTTGATTTATTAGAACAAGCAAATGAACATTCGTTGCACTTGTACGGTTTCTCTCCCGTGTGAGTACGTTGGTGTCTGATAAAACTTGATTGAACAGAACAAGCAAATAAACATTCGTTGCACTTGTAGGGTTTCTCTCCCGTGTGAGTACGTTGGTGTCTGATAAGATTTGGTTTAAGAGAGCAAGTATATGAACATTCGTTGCACTTGTAGGGTTTCTCTCCCGTGTGAGTCCTCATATGTTTCTTGAGATTACCTTTCTGAGCACAAGAATATGAACATTCGTTGCACTTGTAGGGTTTCTCTCCTGTGTGAGTCCTCATATGCTTCTTGAGATCACCTTTCTGAGCACTAGAATACGAACATTCCTTACACCTGTAGGGTTTTTCTCCAGTGTGAGTACGTTGGTGTTTAGTAAGACTTGATTTATCAGAGAAACAAAATGAACATTCCTTGCACTTGAAATGTTTCTCTCCCGTGTGAGTACGTTGGTGTATAATAAGACTTGATTTAACAGAACAAGCAAATGGACATTCGTTGCACTTGTACGGTTTCTCTCCCGTGTGAATATCTAAATGTTTCACAAGATCACTGTTCTCAGTACAGGTAAAAGAACAATCGTCACATTTAAAAGCTTTCCCAACAGGAGAAGTAGTCTCTTTGCCCAACCTGGTTGGTGATGGTAAAGAATTTAACATTGAGACTTTTGTAGTAGCCATAACATTGATTGTTTCACAATGATGTTCTCTGATATGTTCCACAAAGAACACATCATAAAGGAAGCGAGCTTCACATTGCGGACAAATGAAACCATGTGATATTCCAGTCACCTCCTCCTGCTCAGTTTTTATTTCCTTTTTTATTGGAATTAAAGTTATGTTACTCCTTTCTTTATCAGCAGCTGTTGAGGATCCTTTACTTCGTGTCAACATTACAAACTTTCCTGGATAAATAACGGATTGATAACATCAAAATACACAAACTTTCCAAATTCAAATATCTACGTATTCAATTACCAGTGGGTATAAATTTTTGGAATAATAAATTATAATATTTAGACCACCCCTAGACATCTTTATTC